TAGGGAAACTACAGCAATGGTTCTGCCAGGGGAGCTGAAGCAGGGGTAGGCTTGCCAGTGCTTCTCATACCATATGTAATCTTGTTAAATGTATCATCATTCCTCTTTCAGCTGAGAGGGAGTTATCAGCTGTGGGATCAGAAGTCAAAAAACACCCACAAGACAGTATTGAGTGAGCTGCTGAGTTTTGAGGAACCCAGCCAGTCACAACTCACAAACATTTTGTAGCCATTGTGAGTTAATGTCCCATGTTACCAACATCTCTTTAATTATCGGGCAAGAGATGGGCTTGCTGAAATCAAGTGAACTTGGTGTTGATTTCAGTGGGAGCAAACTTGGGTTGGTCAATTGCATTCTTAGGGGGATGTGTGTGTGTAAGTAGGGCAGGGGAAGAGAAAGGAAATGGGGCTATGGCCACCTTCTGCACTTGTGTGTTTTGGGAGCTGTTGGTGGTTAATAAGCATGTGCAAGCAAACGCTGGTGGGAGAAGGGCCTCTGCAGCAGGGCCTGCCTTGCATGGGTGCCCCCCTTTGGGCAGGCAGGCATTGCTGCCATCCTGGGGAGAGCCAGGCCTAGGAAGGGCAGCAGGGTTCCCGGGAATGCCTCGCAGCAGTGGTAGCACAGACCCTGATGGTGGTGGGACTGGGGATCACCTCACATGGTTTTGGGCTAGGCCATCAGGAGTTTCCCTGGCCAGCTCCAGGACTTTAAGAGCCAGTTTGCACTGCACTGGCCCTTGTGCCTGCAACAGCTGGAGCAGGAGCTGTGCCCGTGCTGCGTGGACTAGCCGGAAGCGAGAGCCCCTGGCCCAAGCCATCCCTCTCTGCAGCTGGAGCCAGGACTGCTCACCTGGAGGGGTGGTGCATGGATGTTTCTTTTCAAGAGTGCTCTCCATACTGAAATCATAGCCTCAGCCATTTTTGTTCTGTAAAAGTTTAATATTTTGCTAGAAGACAGTATATAAAAAAAATAAATTCAACCCAACAGTGTGATTGGAGTAAAGCTATAAGCAGACAGCTAGAAAGATGGCTAAAGAGCAGGAAAAGCAGGATGTCTAATCACTGAAGAACAATTATAAACAGCAATAAAATCAATATCTATGTTAAACTAGCAGTGCAAAGATACAAACTGAAAGCAGCTTTACATTAAAAATACAGCTTTTTAAATACAGAAATAGCACCAATTTACAAAAGACAATCAGAAATGTAAACGTGGCAGGTAGATTCAAGTATAAGTTATATGCTCACTCTCTTCAGCAACTGTCTTGGGAGAGAAAAGTTTCAGAAAAGCTGCAGAACATCCTGGGTATGCACTTTGCCTCAGTGCAAATACAAATTTTCCAAAACTACTTTGCTGATGAGTTGTTCCGAGTTTATTTTATTACTTAGCTTTTGGTGAAGGCAAAGCTAGGAAAGGCACACTCATGCCAACGCAACCTTCCCCCCTCACTGGCCTAGTTCAGCAGCTCAGGTACTGCAAGTAGTGTTGGTCCCTTTGCTGCCCGACTGCTTCGGTGGCCCCACTCCCAGTTTAGTGAGAATTTTGCATTGACAAAAACAAGACAGCATATGAACCCCCTTCTTCTCCCAGGCCCAAATCTGCTTTCGCAGCCATGACCCATTGAACGGCTTTGAGGGAGTCAATTCTCGCTTCCAGCCCTGCTGTATTTACAGAAACTCAAAACTGGAAGCAGAAATTGGAAACTGAAGATCCGTTTTCAATCCCTGCGTTTTCAAGTATAGTTAGGTTAGTTATGGCACAGAACAACATTACTGACAAAGCAAGGTCATTTTTATGATGATTCTTCAACTGGAGCGAGGAGCCAGTATTAGCTCTGCTCCTAGCTGCCACTTCACTAACAGGCTGTGGAAGAGAAGACAAGGTTTAGGGAATCAACATCCACCATGTCACCCTGAACCCCAGCAGCCCACTTCCAGCCCCAGCAGCAACAAACGCACCCTAGCAGGAGTGCAGGGGCAGCAGCAATGTGCCAATTACACGTTGCTTTTCAAAGTGAAATTCATTTAAGTGGGCGTATAAGAAGAAATAATTCAGAAGCAAAAACTGTAAAATTTCACAGCTGTAGTGTATTCTTTAAAAAAAACCCCCAAACCTTAAAATGTAGCTGTCTGAAGATTTCTCTTTACCACCCCTGAAATTTCCTATGATAATTCTACCGTAGATTTTCTTTCAATGAGGGCTAACCAGCCCTCCCTATAAGGCTGTTCTTGGTCTATTCTACGATAAGGCCACATTACTCAAACTCCCAGCTTCACTACAACTTCTTCCTTAAACTCTGTTTTCACAATACACTTCATTACAAAAATAAAAAGATCTCATCAGTTCGCCAACCCCCAAAATCCTAGTCTCCCTTAACCAACGAAGTAGCACATCCAGCAGTGTATCTGCCCTCGGGAAACCAGCACCAGTACCAATGAGGGAAGAGCTGGTAATGCTGGCCTTATCTCTGCTAAAACTCCAGAGTAACGTGATGTCACCACCACCGTTTTCTGTCTTTTAAATAAGAATCTGCACAAATCTAATTGCAGATTGCTACACCAGTTAAAACGTACCCAAGCATAAGGGCAAAACTCTTAAAATTGTGTCTTATATTATTAATAGCACCGTCCATTCTCTGAGGACTCTGTATGGTAACTCTTAGACTTATCTTTTTCCTTATCCTCTCCTAGAGGAATACAGATAATTTTTTCCCACTTTCAAAATTCACGGCTCTTGCTCTTTTCAGCTTCTTTTCATGGTTTAGAGAGAAAAAAGAGAAGACCTCCCTTGTTTTCCAAGTACATTCAAATGCACTGTTAACTCGTTATGATATTCTGATCATGAAGAGTTAGGCACTTACATAGACTTCAGTAAACTGCTAAGTAGGCACTTAAAGTAGACTCAGGTTAGACTGAATCTAATCATGTGGTTAACGACTTACCAGAGTTCCTTGGTCATAAAGTCTAGATTATCTATTTAAACAGAAGATGAAATATTAGCACAGCCCACTCAGTGGCTTGTCACTCTCAAATTACTTTGTCAAACTGACTTAAGGAATAAGATTTTGTATTCTTTACATCTAACATGTACATTTTGCTCAGACTAAAAGAAAAAGAAATCCAAGGACTAATATAGTTCATTAACATAGTTATAAAAATGTCAACATTCACAGTTATTTTGGTCTTAACATTTTTCACATGTATACATTCACTCCTATTGTGTTATTATTAGGTTTTTCTAACCACAAGTGCTGGGCAAAGCGTATAACAACGAACTGACATTCAAGTAATCCTACCCTGAGAAAATCTGTTATTCTGAAGCTGCAAAAAACCTTTTTTTGCACTAGATCCCACTCCAACGTATAAAATAAATAGCAAGAGGCTGCAATGCGGAGGCAGGATTTGACAGATTGGAACCAAGGAAGCAGTTGCTCTCACAGCTGCAAAAGTTTATCATTTTCACCACAGATTTACTCAGGCTAAGTAGAATACATGCAAAAAAAAATGCTTACCCCAGATAAGTGCTAGACATATCAGTGAAAACCATGAATAAAGAACCCCTGGGGACTCCGAGAAAATCTGTTTGCATCTCTTCACAGCAATGCAGTTTTCCAAATTGAAACCACAAACACAATTTGATGCCCACAAGGCCACGTGAAGCACAACCTCTGAATTCAAATCAGTACTGAAGGAACAATTCAGTAGGTGGTTTTCCTTACCAAGGATGATGGGTGAAGAAGGAGTTAACCGAACAGGTGGGTGGACAGGTAGCGGGGAAGCATTTAAATGTGCTCCTCTTGTCAGGTAAGAGCTTGTTCTCTTGTAGACAACACAGGGTCCTAGGACAATCTGCCAACCCTTTGCTAGGAGTGGAGTTAGTCAGGGCTGGTACCAGAGATTTCCAGTCTCCTCTGCACAGAGCTGGCGTTTCTGGTCTGGTTGCCTTCATTCTTCTTCCATGCAACAGGGTCTCCAAGACTTCCAGGAGTCTTGAAAAATGCCTCATGACGTGCAGGACGAATGCTCTTGGGAGTGAGAGGAGCTGACGAAGGCTATTTGTGAAACAAACACAAAGTGATTCGCTAGGGTGTTGTCAAAGCCTACAAGCAAGCATGCAAGCAGAAGACAGCTTGTAGACATTAAGCCCTGTACCCTGCTACTACAGGGAACCATGCCACAATCTGTTTCCAACTTAAATTTATTTGTTACTAGTTATTAATCATCCATTCTTATGCCAATCTTGTCTTTTATTTCCCTCTTTGCCGTTTTACTCATTTTTGGTATTTGTTAGATCAAACTGATTTAAAATTAGTCTCCTAAACCCTGTCCACTTCTGAGTGCCACTCTACTGTAACCTCTAGTGTTGGTATCTGTAATCAGACTGGTTGCCAACCAGTCTCTACTACAGACTTTTTCTAAAGCTCAAACAAGATGAAGTGATATTCATAAAGCTTCCAAAAGTTCAGTCTATTTGTCACTGCTTTAGACAGCAGGAAAACAAATCAGATTTAAGAATGTACACTAAAGCAGTGCCAAAATGTCACTGCTAATAGTTGTAAAGACCCAGGTAATACACTGTGACATGACTGGTTTATGTCACTTATGTACTTCAGATAAGTAAATCCTTCTTTACTTTTGTCTTTTTGATTTCTTTTCTCAAAAGGTCTGTTTCTGTGGTCGATTTTCAAAAAAATTTATATTAAAAAAAAAAGAACAGAATGTAGGAGAATCGTTGTTCTCCCCCAGTTCTGATGCTATTATGCTTCCAGCGTTCAGTGAAGAGATCAGGACAGAGGTGAGGAGATAACCCCTGACACTACTGCCTGAGAAGTGCAGGAAAAAGAGATCCTACAACCTATTTTCCCCTATTCCTGTAAAATTAAGATTTTTATGATCTTAAGATTCCCGTAAGATTTTTAAAACTCAGCACTGCACCGCTGAAGGCTGGATGTGCCATGCTGGGCTATGCCTTTAACACTGTCCCAAGCTGTGCCACCACTACAGAAGGGGACACAAACTGAGTGGAGGACACCAGCTCCCAGGGCGCCACTGGCACCAGCCCGCAGCACAAGGTGCCTTCAGGCCCAGTGCTCTGTCACGGCTGTTTCCTCGTCACTCAGCCAGCCCTGACACCTACCTGCTGCAGCTTCAGAAGGGTCACCGGCTGCCCCAGACACACGGGGGCGTCCAGTTTAACAGCACCACAAGACCTTGCAAGCACAGGACTCGGGTGCCGAGCGGGGTGGGCTGGCTGCTGGGGATCCACTGGAGGCGCAGGTGAGAACTTGGGGGGGACCACTGCCGTGGTGCCTATGAAAACAGGCGTTGTCGATGCCAGGCCAGGCATGCTGAAATTCATGGAAGTGGCAGCTGAGAAGGAGCCATCAGGACCGGAGGGCAGAGGAGTGCTGATGGCAGGAGAACAGATGAGAGGGAAGGAAGCCAGGGCTGCTGACGGCACCATGACACAGGGGACGCTCAGAGAAGGTAACGGGCTCGCAGCCAGGTTGATAGCACCAGGGGCTTGGTTTGCAGAGAACAGGAAATTAAAACTGCTTAATCCTAAATCAAAGAGAAAAAGCAAGGCATTAATACAGTCGACAAACTGGAATTAAGCTATTATAACTTCATCATGAACAGTAAAGAGAGATGACAACAGAGAGAGGCTGACCAAGAAGAAAATTGTGCCAAAAATAAAAGGAAGAAAACTGTTCACAAACCCGTGACTTCTGTCAAGCTCCCTCTCCTTATCTGCCTCCACCTCCCCCTCTACTGCCTGTTCACTGTATCTGCACCCATTTACTTTGTTCATATTAAGTACCACCACACACCTTGCCGTTTTCTGCTTCTAACTTCAGTTACAACCTACACCTCGGCTAAACAAACTCTTTTCACCAACAGGAATCATATCTTCTGCTATATGAAAACATATACACTGCTTCTAATGAGAAAACAAACCAAACCAAATGGAAAACACCCACAAAGACATACCCCAAAGATGCTCATTTTCCTGAGAACAGCTGAAACACTGTTTTGAAATAGAAGCTGCTGTTTCCCAGTTTGCCTGACTTTCCAAAACATCGAGATCAACATTTTCAAACTGAGCATCTCCACCTTATAAGTGAAACCCCATGGATCCCACTCTGTGCCACAAGTGAAGTAAATGCTAAAGCAGCAGCGATGTAAATCTGCCACACGTGTCCCGTTCCCACAGTCTTCCACTCCATTCAAACACAAAAAAAGGACACAAAATCCTTCTGTAATATTTTCAGCTACTTCCCACCCATTCCTACTGTGTCCTATGAGCAGGCCTAGCTGCAGTCCCAACACCTCAGTTTTTGTGGGCTTATCCTGATGATGCACATGACAAGACAGGACAAAGTTTGTAGATGACTAAATTCACCCACTGAGGGGAATGCTGTTGCACTCTTCTGGCTGCCTTACTGCCAAGCCTAGACTTCCAGCTCCCTTGAGTTTTGACTGCAGAACAGGTGCCTTCTTCGCTGCACTTAATTTAAACATGCAATCCCCACACTATTCATCTCTGTTCATGTTTGGATACCTCAGAAAAATGACTGTATTTTCATAGAAGCAACAGTTCATTTGGAGTCAAGAGAATTCAGAGCTAATTATACCACAGAGAACTGCTGACAGGTTTTGTGCCAAATACAGACTTATTCACTGATCTATATGTCTCCCCATTCAAGCAGCTTATTTAAGAGATGCAGAAGTTTGAGTGCCTCTAGATCTAACGGCTGTCCTTACCAGCAGTAGGCTGAACATAAAGATACTGTGGTAGGAAAGGTTGATTAGCTTTTTCTTTAGAGATGTGCTCTTTTCCTGGAGAGGGTTCATCAGGGTCTTTGTTCTGAGATGGTTTTTCTTGCTCCTGAGAATCTAAAGGCTTAGTAGACTCCTCGTCTGCAGCCTCTGGAGCAACAGGACTTGCGAGGTCAAGATGAAAGTCTTTTAGATGCACAGCAGATGTACAGCCACTTCCTGGGGTAGACTCCGCTTTGGGCGACTCAAAAGGCTTCTAAGCAAAAGAGAAGAGGAAATGAACTGTCCAAACTGAAATAACACAGCATGATGTATCTCATGCACCTTCCTCAGTTAAAGAGTAAAACATGTATCTGTTGCAAGGAGCAGCACAAAACTGATTAGACAGTAATTTGGTGAAAACTTTTTGTCTGAGGGTTGGAAGAGCCATATTAGTGATGCCCAAGACCTGTGCCCTGTGCTGTAGTTCACTTTCAGTACTTGGAGATACTAGATAAGCTTGGGGATCCATTTCTTATTGATAAGAAAAAACATATTTCAAATGGCTGATACTCAAACACTGATATGACCTTGAGCCTGACCCCCATTTTCAGTAGTTAAGAGAACCCTGAGATAGCTGCGCTTTGGCTTCACCATCATCCCTCTCACCAGCCTGCTGTGGGCTTAAGAGAGAGGGACAGGCTGGAGGGAAGGGGGAAAGTACAAATCACATTTGCTATAGCTCAGTGGAGTAAACAACACTGCTGCTGCTGCTGTCTGGGAAAACCCAAGCTAGCAAGGGAAGATGAGGAGTAATAGTCACATTGATTTCTTCCTCTCTGGCAGGCTGCACGACGATCAGGACCGTGATTCCATGAACTGCTGAGCATCACTTCACTATGCAAAGCAATCACAGTCCATTTTCCCCTGGTAGCATGAAAACATCTCCCAGCTAACGCCTATACTTCCTGACACAGCCTCCTTACAACTTTATTAAAGTCTGGGAGGCACCACTTGGATCTGTAACAAGAGTGGTGCAGTGAATTTTCACTTCTGAAAACACCCTCCTGGGCAAAAGTCTTTCCTCACTAAGAGGACGCCCAAGTGATACAGAAATTCACTCCTTTACCTTGGCTACCACAAGGGAGAGGGGCACATCACTGTGTTGCAGGGCCTGCTTTTTGGCAGCTGGCTCTCCATGGCCGGGGGCAGCCGGGGGGGAGGCGCTGCGCTTCCGCCCGG